CCTTATATCTTCTCATTCATCCATCTGGGATTTACCCAGTGTCTTCCATATCCCAAGCATTATATTAGATACTTGGAATATAGAAATAAATGACACACCCCATCCCCAGGAAATATATAACAGTAAAAAGTTTTTTAAAGGTGAATCTTGCCTTTGAACCAAACAGCTTAGTACAATGCTTGTTTTCAGTATAAAAACTCACCTTTGTGGGACAAGGCTGTCTTCATTTATAGTTCTTATTCCTTCTTTCAAATTATGTTTCTTGGCCAAGTCTGTGGAACTATTGGACTGTATGGCCTCTCAGTCAAGCCAGCCACAGCTGGGAGGCCATCGGAAACTTGTACGAATTTCTGGTAATTGGATACGGCCATAATCAAGTTTTATATGAAGTCTGTGCTGATGATGTGCCTTCATTCTCTAGGTCAGAGGGAAAGTCTGGATGCCTTAATACACCTAAAGCTTAGGAGAGGCCTTTTCTGAAATAGCTGTCAAAGGGATTTCCATGACCAAAGTAACATAACTATGCCAAAAATTCTGTGACCTGATAAGAAATCCGTTGCCTGGATTCCTGGCAACATTTCTTAAAACTAAAAATGATTCTCTCTTCTCAGAACTAACACTCAGTATCAGAGTGACTTATCTGACACTTGTCATGTACACATGGCCTTGTGTCATTAGTTATATTTTCACTGTTCCTGTCTCACTCCCTTGACTGGATTATAAACTCTTTGAAGCTAATAAAAATAATATTGACAACGGGTAATATTTATTGAGGGTTTCTATGTGCCAGGCAGTATTCTCAGTACTTTATATGTTTCATTTAATTTTTACAACAACTCATGAGGCAGGTATTTTATCATTATCTTCATTGTGTGTGGGGAACTGGTCCCAGGCATGTTTAGTAGCTTGCTCTAGGTCCCCAATCCTAGTAATTTGCAGGGCTAGTATTCATGCCTAGACAATCTGACTCTAGAACCTGTACCCCTGTTTACTTCATTGTTTGTCTTCGCTAGATAACTCATGCCTTACTACATGCTGACTTGCAAGTGGAAGACAGTCCAGAAATTAAATCATTGATTTATGAAACAGTTTTCTAAATGTCTCGTAATTTTATCAAGTTTCTGTATATCCTTCTGGGTAGGAGATATAAGGCAGTTGTTATTATCTTAATATCCTTGGTGAGAATACAAGGGAATAGGGCTTATTTCAGGTACAGCAAAGACTTTTCTACATAAATCCCTCCTCATTATCATCACTGAAAATTCACAGTCGCTAAGTGCTTATCAGGGTCAAATATGGAAGCATGTCCCATCTCCAAATTTGATATTCCTCCTGTACACATCTAGGACATTTGAGTATCTCTTCAAAATGTATCTCACTGATTTGAGGTAACATAGAAGTATAACTTAGGAATAATTTATTTTCATTTTTAAAATAAATAATAGTCCTTTGGATCATTGTAATAGAACATATGAAGTATAATGACTGTAAATTAATGTTGTTTTATGCTTTATTTTCTGTACCATGTTTCTATCTTACATGTCTCTCAGTTTCCTCACTTTAAAAGATGTTCAAGGGCATGCCTGCCACTAAAAACTATCCTTTCTATACTTTCTTTAATCAAACTATGAAGTTTTATGTATTTAAAAATGTTGCTTGTATTTTGGTTTCTATAATGGAAACCTTCTAATATAGAAAACTGGTATCCCAAATGCTAAATGATTAATTTTTTTTAAAAATTCTTTACGAATTTCTTATATAAAAAGGAAAACCTGTGAAGGGAGATCTCTCATAGCTCCAGAATTCAAATTAGCAAATAATTTTGATTGGAATTATTTCATGCAGACCATCCTGTTAACCTGCAAAAAACACTGCATTAGAATTTTTTTTAGGGCAGTGATGATCTAGCTGGAAGTGAGGCAATTGGTATACAAATACACAAGCAAACACATATTCATGCATCTGCATATCTGAGTCATGTGTATAAACTATGTATAAAACATGGCATGATGCTGTATAATGCTTTAAAAGAGTTAGGTTGGTGTGCTTAGTCAGTATCTCATGAGAGACGAGAACTCAAACAGGATCTTAAGCTTTAGGTTTTCTATGAAGAAAAAAAAAAAAAAGAAAAATATTTTATAGTGAAGATACCAAAATGCAGAGGTAGAAATGGGGGAGGGTGGATTTTTAAAATGACAATCGGAGGTAGGCAGGAAAGAGAATGAGTGATGTGACCTGGATGGGAGGCACGGACAATGAAGATTGACCTGAAAATCCAATGTCAGGGCCATAGGGCTGGAGACAGTGGAAACCTGGGGAGAGCAGCCTCTCTGTCACATGTCAGCTCCTGCTCAAATCCCAATTTCTCTAGATCTTCTGATTTATTTTTTAAAAGCAGAAATTTCAGATAAAAGTTGCAGTTTAATAACTTGTTAACGAATCTAATAATGTTTAAAATCCTTTGGGAAGCAAAACCATGCTAGCCAAATATGTCTGGGCTAGTTCTTCCTGAAGACCTCTAATTTGAAACTTGAGCTAGAAAGAATGAAATAATTCTATATTTTAATCCAAAATTTTGTGGCATGCCTTCTTAGTTGGGATTAATTGTAATGGAACAGAATATTTATGCCCTGCATGGTGGGGACAAGTAGAAAATGTGCTGAATTGATGGAGAAAACGAGAACTTTGCTTCTGAAACTCGTTTGTGGACCAGCTTGAGCATCACCTGGACGCTTGTTAGAGATTCAGAATGTGAGGCTGTGCACTAGACTTCCTGAATTAGCATCCGCATCTTAACAACATCTTCAGGTGATTCATATTCACATTAATGTTATAGAGGCACTGGATGTAGTATACTGAATGTTCTCGTTTTAAAATAGCTTCTGTAAGACACAGCATACAGCAAAAGTTTGAAGAGATAGCAGAATCTCAGAGAATCTTTAGTGTAACTAGTAAAACATGGGGCAAAAAAAAAAAAAAAAAAGATTCAGTCTTACTGAAGCCTGAACAGAGCAGTTAATATGGTAATGCTGATATATTTAGTAATGTGTTCACAGCATAAAGTTCTTTACGAGAACTTGATGTGCCAAACACAAGACTCAACACAGTTTATGCATGTATTTAGTAATCAGTAAATTACCTTAGATAATAAGTAAATTGTTGAATCCTGGACAACTGATAACATCATTTGCTCTCACCTGTTTTTTTCAATGTTGTGCTGAGCCTCAAGTATAAATTGAATAGAGTGACCTTTTGATACTCTATGAAATTGACTACATTTCCTAAGATTCTGTGGTTTCAATTACCATAAATTTTTGATATTGGGTCCACAGCCATTGCATTGCCCCAGCATAACAATATCTTATCGTTGGTTCTGATAATACAGTAGGCATCAGCACAACATATTGTTACTACCACTGTATGTGTGTGAGCATGTGTGTGTGTATGTTCTCAGTCAGAACTTCATGTCAAGTGCAGGAGCAATCTGCAGTTTACCTAGATTAAATCTGGTCACTGTGAGTATTTCAAGATGTGAATGATTTTTTTTTTTGCTCCAGTGATAGAAATTGTGTTCTAGGTTGCTAGCTGGATCTTGAGTTTGTGAGATGGATAAGTCAATTAGTGGTTCCTCACTTTATTAGCAACTTAATTGTCGGAATGTAATGAAACTTCTGAACTGCAACAACTCATTAGAAGCAATGAAACACATGACATTTTTTTCTAGAACATTCAGTGAGCTTTCTCCCCCAAAGAGATCTTGAAAATAAAATTAAGTTTAAATTTATACCTATGAAGGTATAACGGTTTTGAATTTTGCCCTGAAAAATGTTCTAGAAAAGTTAGGGTCACTGAAAAGAGGGGAACCTGCATTTGAATTACCACTTGGACACATGTTTGTTATGTAAACTTTGATGAGTTACTTATCTTCTTTAAACCTCAGTTTTCTCATCTGTAAAAAGGTGATTTAATAGTTATTTCAAACAATCATTATGAAGATAAAAGGAAACAGCGTGTGCAAAGGGCTTGATGGTATCCCTAAAGCACAGCAAGAGCATAGTCAATGATTGCTATTGTCACTCTTTAATTTTCAACCTGGATATTTTAATTCGCTTGCCTTTGTCTTGAAATAAGTTTGATTTTCTTTCTTCAAGGCTAAAGACATAATCATTAAAAGTCATGTATCCCACTGTATTATCTACCAGAAACGAGGCTAGAAAGGAGACTGTATTTTGCTGCCATGCTTGTACTTTATAGAAACTGATGGTTTCTACCAAAGCAGGAGTTTACTTTTTAGTTCCTTGGTAGATCGTGGTTGTTTTCACTTGGACTTTATGACAACATTACTCTGATCTCTGTCATAGAAGCTCAAAGAAAACTCTTGCTTCTCCCCTTATGCTTTATTATAGCCATAGCTCCCAAAGATGATCTTGACGATACATAAGAAGCAGTACAAACATTGCGAGTGGTGATTCAACCTTTAACTTACATTTCAAAGATAGTATTAGGTTGGTGCAAATCTAATTGCAGTTTTTGCCATTGAAAGCGATGACCAAAACCTCAATTATTTTTGCGCCAACCTAATTATTTCCTGAAGCCTATAGCCAAAACAAACAGTGTAACAGGAAAAGAGTATTTCATTTCCAACTGAAAGTTACAATAAAATTATGGATTACTCCGTGCTCCTTCTAACTCCCTTTTCTGGTTTTTCCTTTCCTTTCTCTTCATAGTTTTGTTTTTGTCTATTTTATTCCCTTCATTCAACATTTAAATAAGTGTAAGATATTGTAGACGAATGACTCTACTGTGTAGCTAGGATGCTGGAAACGTCATGAGGACAGGAGCAGTGTCTGTGAGGTCCATGGCTATGTCCCCACATGCCCGAAGCACCTGAAAAAAAAAGTTCTAAATCTACAAATGAATAAAAGCCAAATAATAAATGAATAAATGAATAAAGCCGAATAAAACAAGACTATGACCTTCAAAGAGCTTAAATATGTATTACGGTGCTCTTTATGCCCAATATCTCATTTAATCCTAACCACAATTCTATGAAGCATATGTCTCCGTTTTTACAGTTGATAGTACCGGGGTTGCAGGGCACAGATGCCTTCCTCAAGGACACAGGCCTGTACATGATAGAATTATAATTTGAAACCCTTTTTTCCTAAGGTTAAATCCCTTAAGACTTTGAGTCTACTACTTTGGAAATATTCACAACAGACCTAATATTGATAGGAACAGCAGTAAAATGAGAGGTCCTGGGTTAATGTTTCAAGAATATTGAATGTTCTTCCAGGCACGAATTGAGCAGCAATTGATGCCGAAATGGCACCAAATTATTTTGCTATCAATTGCTAAAGCCTGGTGTTTTCATATCGTGTGCGGATCTATTCCAGGGCCATCTCTAGCTGATAGCATCAGATCTTCCACCCTGAAGAGATTACAGCTGGCTGACATCCCAACAAACAGACCTGAAAAGTTTGTCTACAACCACTGATAGGAGCTCAGCGAGGAGGACTTTGGGAGAGGGTTAGCTCGAGGATGTCTTGATTTCTTTTCTGCTTCTGTGGCTTTGCTATAGAGTCTCAGACAAATACTCCCATTGTTTTTATGCTGTTTGTTATAGTCTACTTGCTACTGTGAGGTGTTGTGAGGAAGAAATAAATTTAAGTCAAGAATGCAACTATATAAGCATGGTACAAATTCAGTAAATATTGCTTGAATGATTTTATCTGAGAGGAGTGAGTATTTAGCACTACATTTTTATATAATGCTTCTTAACTCTTCCTTAAAGCACATAATGATCAATGCTATTTTTTATGTCCAGTAACCTTATGGGACAACCATGGCAGATTTCACTGCTGCCTTTTTACAGATCAAAAAATTAAGGCTGAAGAAGACAAATTCAAAAGCAGGGCCACACAGTTGTGTAGACCTGGGCTGACCTTGATTAATTATTGAATCACACTTTAGCTATTTCTCTTCCCATTTTCTCATGTATGGCACACACAAACACAGTCTTTGTTTCTTTATTTTTATATATTTTAAAGAATAAAATGCTCGTTACAGAAAATTGGAAAAAGACAAATGGACTTAACGTCATCTGAAATCTCACCTTCTTGTAATATTTTGGGATTCATTCTTTTAGGCTTTTTTCAGTATCCATGCATAGATGGATCATGGACTGAACAAACGCTATTTGACTACTTTCTTGATTCATTTCATAATATTTAATGGCTATGTTTCATTTTAACAAATGTGTGCCTATATAATTGTTTTAATAGGCATCAAGCATTTCATGGTATGGGTTCTCTGGTTACCTTTTTATTTTTAAAGCTAGGCACTTGTAGCTTACGCAGCCTATGATCTGTGATTCTTTGTTTATAAGGGTGTTCAATCTGATGGCAGTAGTCAGTCATTGTAATAAGGCTCCTGGCTGGCCCGTGCCATCATCATACACTAAAGAGACTTCATGACTTAAGATATTTCATGGACTCACAAGTACTGAAACAGGGTCTGAGTGGGTAATTGGGGAGATAACTAGGACTCAGGGAAGAAAACTCCTTCAGTCAAGGGGCCAGAGTTGGTATGCACTGGACAAAGATGAAACATCCATGTTCTATGTCATGTGTGAGGGATTCTGGGCATCTCAGAATGCCACAGCTGATTCTCACTGATGGGCAAGCCTTCTCCTTCAGCCCTCACAATAGATCATAAGAAATATTCTCATCTTTCCTCAAAGGTTCTATTATTTAATCTTTTAAGGGAGTGATTCTTAGTCCTGGCTTCCATGAGAATCTCATATGGGAAGATTTTAAAATTACTAACTTCCACCTCCAAAGATACTGACTTAATTGCTCAAGGGAATTACTAACTCCCACCTGCAAAGATACTGACTTAATTGTTCAAGGGGGTAGGGAAGGGGCAAGCATATATTTTTAAAAGTGCATACATGATTAAATTTAGAGCCAAAATTGAAAGTCACTACTTAAAACATCTGTTACTCTCTGTAAGGGTCAGAAGAAAACTTTTATCCCAGTGTGAAATCTTTTCTAAGAAAAAATATTTATGCATTGATTTTATAAATAAGCCTGAATTTTAAAAATCTAATTTGGCTTTACTTAAATACAAATAGAGTTCTCATTGCTTCTTTTCATTTATTCCTCACAGCTGTTTATTTTGTTTATAGTAATTTATTTTGTCAATCATCTATCTTCCCCCAACAGAATAAGCTCCTTGAAGGCAGGGATTTTAAATTATTTTGTTCATTGCCATATCCCCAGTGTCAAGAGTGCCTGACACATGGTAGGTACTTGAAAAATTCTTGTTAAAATTTTGACACTGATTTTAATGCGCAAATCACGATTCCTACTCCCAGGAAGCTTGCGATCTATTAAAAGCACACAGATATGAAAATACAATGCAATATTTCTATGGAGGTTAATATATTGGAATATATTTACAGTATGTTAAACAATGTAGAATTTTAAGGAAAACATATGGCAAATGTAAGAGAAAGAGTCTTTGCTACTTATTTCCTTTTCTTCTCCTGATAAGCAACATGGTATAATAGAAAAACTAAGGAGCCAATAGGTCCAAAACAGATGTAGAATTAGATCAGTTACCAGATGACATTGAGAAAGTCTGTTTATCCCTTTGGATGTCAGGCTTCTCAACTCCAACATCGTAGTGTTGGGAGAGTTGACCACGCAGCTTTTACTCTTCAGTGTTTCCATGTTGCTACATCCTGTCATTATAAGAGCCACAACATGGCCAGGCATTAAATGGCATGTTTTTCCCTTTCATTGTCCTGTATGTCTCAAATTTTTATCCAGATTAATTTACACTTCTCTTGTCATGTCCCATGCTGTACATGTGCTTTAGGTACATGTGCTCTTTCACCCTGTTATCAAACTCACGTTAAATATGCCCCTTTGAGATTATTAGCTACTTTGTCTAGCCCAATGTCCTATGTTTCTCCACTGTGCGTGCTCTCTACATATGCATGTAAGTCACTGATAATCATGAATGAGTCTGCATTTGGAACTGATTCAGTGTGAAGTATTTAAAGATTCTTCACAAGGGGCTCACTCAGTCTGGCATTAAAAGAAGCTCCGTATCTAAATCCTAGGAGATTGCAAACTTACTCAGATGCTTTGGAAACCTAAACCCATGTAAAATACTTAGATACAAAGTCATTGAGAAGATGAACTTCTCATATTGTATTTGTTTGGAAAGCATTTATTGACAACCCGTAGCTCTGTGCAGAGCACTTTAGTGGAATTTGAAAGTTAGTCAAGGAGTCAAAGACCCAATCCCAAGCTCTAAGTAGCTCCTAGTTTCTTGGGGAAGGGAGCTGGAAAGGCACAGCGGATTAGCATGGAGCACACTTTGATTTATTTCACCCTAGATGGCCTCACAGAAAGGACACCTTGCCTCTGAATAGCTTCCAACCACCTTGAGACAATTTTGTCTCATTCTAATGCCATTGCCAGGATATTACAGTAATCAGATCATTTGACATTACCTGCATCTTAGTGTCCCCAACTTTAATATACCATATAGATCCAAGTGTCAGGAATCTGCAGCTGCGCAATTTCACACATATCTTGTGGTGCTAAGTCTTTATGAACAAATAGCACTGACCTCTGCGATGGTGCCTTCTAAGCACTTCTTTTCATCAGCAAATATACTATCTTATATAGAACTTACTGGTTGTAATAGGAAATTATTCTTCCTTACATAGTCTAAAAATCACTGGTTATGCCCAGGATTAATGTAGTCCGCTAATTTGTAACAGCAGAGCTTTGTGAGGTATTCACTGCAGGCCTCCTTTCTGAAGTCCTGGTGCTGCTGTTCTGATTGATCAATGTTCCTGTGTGATGTTTGTTAAACATTTTGCCTATCAACCCCCTCCTGCTTATACCTGTATGTAAACCATGAAAAAGTAATTTCTTACTCATTGCAAATTTTCCTCAGGACCTTTGGCCCTTACTTTTACTCTTTTCTCTGCCTAAAATATTTCTTTCTTAGCAGTTATGCCTTGCTGCTTCAAATGCTACCTCAGTTTTTTTCTCTCTCTGTGTATGTATGTGTGTGTATATATATATATTTCTTTGCATGGGTGTATATGTTTTATTTATACACATATCAGTATACTGTACATATTCTCCCTATATATAAATATAAAATCTATCTAATATAAAATCTATTATTATCTGCCATCCTCTCACCACAAAACTAAAATGTAAGTTCCTAGAAATCAAATTACAGTACATAGCAGGCACTCAATAAACATGTGTAAATAAATATATATATATATAAAATATTTATAAATATGCACATGAATATGCATGTTATATGTATCTGTAAATATGATACAGGTCTGCATGTGTGTTCACAAATGAAGGGTGTGTCAAGTGTAGGTATTATAATTCATTTCAGTATGCATTGAAGGTGATCATTCCATGTGATAACTGGCAAACAGCCAGTGATCGTGTCAAACTATGCCTGCCAACTGTACCATCTCAACCTAACAGGTAACTGGGAGATAATGAACTTTATACAAATTGTAGGAATTTTTGGGCAATTATCTATTTAGTAATTCTGGTACGATATTTACAATTTCTATATTGTGTTGGCTTATTGCATAGACTGTTCTTCCTTTTTCACTTCATTTGTTCATGTCTTATCTCTTCCTTAAATTTGTTTTTAAGAAATCTGTATTTTGTCTCACTTATTCTGAATTCAATCTAGTGCATGAAAATTATAATAATGATATTATTAGTAGTAGTAAACATAAATCCTCACTATATACCAGGCACTGTTCTATATGATTTGCATGGATTAGCTCAGTCAATTCTCAAAACAGCCCTGTAGTATAGGTCTTATTAAGGTTAAGTAACCTGCCGAAGGTCACACACCTTGGAAGTGATGTACTCAGGACCCCAAATCAGCAAATTTAACTTTGGAGTCTATATTTTGCCTCATTGCCTATTTCAAATAATAAAAAATGTTATAAGGCATTGTGGCCTCTTTTGAGATTTTTTGAAATATCTTAAAAAGTTGAGAAATGCTTAAGACCTCTGTGAAGATATATAGAAGAAAATCCTTAAGAATCATTTAGCATGTAGTCTATGTAATAAAATAGACCCCAGAACTAAAATGAACTTTATGATAATGGTGATGGTCAGAAGACGTTGAAGAAAGAGAATAATTGGCAATAAAAAGACTGAGCTGCCTTAGGACTATCAAAAACAAATTCAGGAAGTGAATAACCAATATGCTGTAATCAACAGGGAACGATGGACCATAGAACAACTAGGCATATTAATGTAAGATACTGAGAAAAAGAATTCACATAGAATAAATAAAACGATGTTAATAATAACTGTTAAGATCTATAATCACATGTGTCAAAGGGAATAAATCTGGCATACACAGAATCATAAATTTCAACTTGATTTACACACTATTTAACAGCCACAAAAGAGCAAATAATCCAAACTTGCCTGATTATCAGAATCACTTGGGTTGCTTATAAAAATTATAGAATCCCAGGCTGCACCTCCCAGGTCAGTTGTTCTCAACTGAGGGCAGTTTTGCCTCTAGGAGACATTTGGCATATTTGGAGACATTTTGAGTTATAACTGGAGGGGTGCTACCGGCATCTAGTGGGGAGAGGCCAGGGATACTGTTAAGAATCCTAAACATACAGGACAGCTCCCAAAACAAAGAATTATGTGGCTCAATATGTCAACAGTGCTGCAGTCCAGAACCCTGTATCTAGAGATTTGGATTCAGTGGTTTGTGATGAGGCTTTGAAATCTGCATTTCTATCTATGGATCTAAGTTTTTCTGATAAAGGATTAGAAGAATTGGACTTGTTGAAAAACATCCCATGGGAGAGAATGCTTAAGGTAGACTTTGAGGTAGGGAGAGAATAGGAACAAAAGATGTTAAACGGAAGAACATTCAAATAGAAGAGCAAGTCACGCTCAGTAGGATTAAAAAAAAAAAAGGCTATGAACTAACACTGGGCCAGCCCACAGTAAATAGTGAGAATCAATTGCAAAGCAACCTCCTCTTTCTGCATGGAAGGCCAAGTGTGCCTCATGGCATGTAACTGCATCTCCCACCTTAGATTTTAGCTGATAATAAATACATTCTATGTCAATCTAACTAACTTCTTAATCTACAATATGAAGATAAATTAAAATAGCCCATGCCCACTCATTGTAATAATCTCTTCAATAAGATCCTGATATATAAAGAAAGGGAGTGAGAACGATATTTCATCAGATATATCTGGTTTAATATCCAACTCTGCTTCTCATTAGCCATGAGAATTTGGAGATAATAATAGGGTTAAATGTGTGATTTCAATTAAATAATGCATGTAAAGAAATTAACATTAGGAACATAGAAAGTACTCAGCTGTTATTATTATTATTTATTAAAGTAATATTTATCTCAGAGAACTATGATATTATTTAAATGAACAGGAAAAGTGCAAGTTCAGATTTAAGATGATGGCAGGTTCTTATTATCAATCATAGCAACTGATTATTTTGTGCTTTGGTTTGTTTGAAGAGGCTTGAGAAAATCCTGTCTCACAGAACTGAGTGTTTTGAAACGGCTCCAGGTTTTAAACTATTCACCCTCAGTTCTTAAGATATATTTTTTTAACCCAAAGACAATAAAAATTATTCAATTTGGCTGCTTAATTTGGTCATGGTTTCCACTGTGTTTCTGTATTTATGATAAGAAAATAACACACTTGAGTCTGTTTTCTAAAAAAAATAAAAATAAAAAAAATAAAAACTTCTATTGGCTATGAATTAAGGTATGTAAATACACAAGATATATCATACACTATAATATAATCAATCCTTATACCAGCTATTCTAGTGTCCAGGGCTCTGTGAAACGCAGCTTAAAAACTTCTAGCTAAGATTAGTATATATTAATATATATTGCCAGCTTAGAGATGAGCATATTATGTGGTATGGAACCAAGAAGCTCACCACTCTAGTCCATATAGATTACGTCGGTGATTTTCTCTTGACTAGAGAGTCAGCACTCCTACATGGTCAGGTAGTAGGTTTGTCTGGCATGATTTTCTCTTCGCAAAAGCATCTTGACTCTTTTAAGATGTTTGCAAATTGATTGCTTGATGATGTGTTCCAGTATCCTTCCAGACAACAGAGTTGGGTTAATTTCTGCATTTTCAAGACCCATTTAAACTTCCTCTTTTACAAAAGATAAGCATTACATTCACTTCTATAGATTCATTGCCTAGGAGTTCATTTCAGAGTTAGCCCCTCTATAGCTGTAGCTGTTCATATTCTTTCCTCCCCACGAAGTATGTATCACTTGCTTGCCTGGTCTATCAGCAGGTTTATGTGAAATGAAGGTGAGATTATTCTAAATCATAGCCAAAGCTAAACATTATTAAGAAGACACATTGTCTGGAGGTGGGAGGAGGTGAGGATTACAGAGAAAATAACAACAACAAAAGAAGAATGAAAATTTGTATATTCTTATGTTGTCAGGATGGATTAGATGTTTTAGTTACTATTCTTACTCTTTTTAGTTAAGGATCTACTATATACTAGGTATCTCAACAATAATCAAATAGGCCTCACCGACCTCCTCTTTTAGATAGTTCATGAAGATGATAAATCACTAAAATATCATGTTGAGTCAGAGATGAATGCCAAAGGGAAAATAATCTAGGGAAAATAGGTAGAATGTGTCCAGAGTAGTTGGAAATGTTGCACTTAGAAGGTGACATTTGAGTAAATGAGGGGACAAAAGGACAATGCATGTGGCCATCTGGCAGAAGAACCTTCTAGGTAGAGAAAATAGCAAGTGCAAAGGCCTTAGGACAGGAGAATGCCTGGCATTTTTGTGGACTAATGAGATCAGACTGATTGGGAAGGATTCAGACAGGTAAATGGAGGGTTGTTAGGGTCAGATGAAGTTGGCTGAGTGTAGAGCCACCATACTCCAGTTAGCCTGGTGTAGTCTGGGTTCATCCTTGAGTAGCCGATTATGTACATTATCCCCTCTCCCTCTGAGAAGGGTTCTGCTTGGACGATAAATTATATAGTGATCCTTGGTTAGTAAGTCACTCAGGATTTTGGCTTTTACTCTTAAAGACATGGGAAGCCATGGAGGGTTTGGTCAGGAGAGGGGTGAGATAGGACTTAGATTGCATCAGGATCACTTAGTCTTCTCTGTTGTGAAATATTTGAGATGGAATGGCAAGTGGCAAGGGTGAAAATAGGGAAGCCAGTTAGGAACTGATATGGCTTGGCTCTGTGTCCCCACCCAAATTTCATCTTGTAGCTCCCATAATTCCCACGTGTGGCAGAAGATGACTGAATTATGGGAGCTGGTCTTTCCTGTGCTGTTCTCATGATAGTGAATGGGTCTCATGAGATCTAATGGTTTCAAAAACTGAAGTTTCCCTGCACACACTGGGTTTTTTTTTTTTTTTTTGCCTGCCATTATCCATGTAAGATGTGACTTGCTCCTCCTTTTTTCCACCATGATTGTGAGGCCTCCCCTGCCATATGGAACTGTGAATCTAATTAAACCTCTTTCTCTTGTAAATTGCCCAGTCTTGGATATGTCTTTATCAGCAGCATGAAAATGGACTAATACCAGAAACCTATGGAATTGTCATTCTAAACTATGCAATGCAGCCGGAGAATTGAGTTGTTTCACTTGAGGACATGTAGCTAGCTGGTGGTGGAAATGGATCTAAGATCAATTCTCCTGACTTCCAGTCTGGAGTTCTTCCCACAATGCCCAGTTTCTCTTTTAGTTTAAACTTGAGAACAAGTAGAATCCTTTGCTCACTCTTTTCAGGCCTGTTAAGTCTCCAGTGTGAAGGCACAACTCAGTTCCTTCTTCCCATTGTGAGAAATAGGTATGACCCCCACCAACCTCCCTGAGCCTTTTTCCCCTTTCCCCTGAAATAGCTCATTTTGCACATATTAACCAGGAATTTTTAGAACTCTCTGTTGAAACTCTGTATTTATACTTTTAGCTCTTATAACTCTACAGAATAATGAATCTCACATGTACAGTACATATTTATTAACTCATGAAGGTGTGATATAAGCAAATATAATCGAATCTAAGTACAGATATGAATACATTTTTTGCCTGCTTAAATAGGAATATATGTATTAATTGGAATTAAATGGATTCCCACAGGTCTAAATATGTCTGCAAATTATTTAATTTTGTTTATATTTTATTTCCACTTGATTCTTATTTTATTTTTACAGGAATTAACCCTGGTTTTTGATCGTTGCTTTCCTCAGTTACAGTGGTTAACTGAGAGGAACAATGTGTATACAGATTATACATTTTTGTATAGTCAACTACAATTGAATACCAGAGAATCCATTCAAGGCATTGATATATACTTGTGCCTTAGATTCTGTTTTAAATATATGTACTTGAGATGTAAACTTATGGGTGTGATATGGACAGACACATTTACATACATGATATTTCAAGTAGCCTGTATGCCCATGGGGAGTTACTCAGACAGTGAAATTAAAATTTGTGTTCTTTCTACTAGCCTGTAAATTCCAGCAATTTTGGCATCCAACAGAACAAAATAGATTGTACATAATGTGCTTATCTCTTATGGGAATGAAATAAGTATAAGCTAACTCTCAGAGCATATGGAAGAAATGAATGGACACAAAAGCATTTTATAATGTGTTATGTAATATTAGGTGGTATTTATTGTCTTGATTTTTTCATTGCACACATATGCTTGAGATTTTTTTATTCCCACCTTCCAGTGCCCATACCTTATTTGCTGCCCTGCATTTCATATCACAAACAAAAAGTAATTGGGTTATTTTAAGGACTTCTCCTTTGAGTAGGGTAGGAGCTAGGAACCTCTAAGTCATTACATGTGGGATTCCACCCATTTTTGATTGAATGTGTGACAAAGGGTCAGACATACTGTCAATGCCCACACTTGGGTATAAAAGAAGCAAAATCAAAATTCACAGTGGATTGCAGAGAGTTTAGAAGAGAAAGAGAAAGAAAAGGAAAAAAATCAACTGTTTGAACATGGGTATTTAAAATATTTAACAACCTCTTTGGCAAAGGCTTAGATTACTTCAAGTAAACACATACAGTGAAGTGGTATCTGTTCTGATTAGAACGAGTTAAACAAAAAAGCTAAAAACCTCAACTTCTATTCCAGTAGTCTACTCTGGATTGTTATTTCTAAATTTTATTGCAGAAAAATACTTAAGTTTTTTTTTTTTTTAATTTTGACTTTAGTTTCTTATAAATATTGAATCAAACTGTATACATTAGGACCAAAATCTGTATTTATGCAAATATTTTCTGCTGATCCATGCATGAAACTGAGGTACAGGGTTTTATATATGAAGATTCAGGAAAGGGACACACCTATGACCCATTGTATTTCTTATTTGAACTCCTGAATCTGTTATAAAAGTTGCTTTCCCATGTTATTTGAACTCCTGGTGGGGCGTAGTGGAACCAATAATCCAAAGTAGTGGATAATCCAAGAATGTCATTTATATTTGGCTTTGGAATACATTACCAGATGTTACTCTAGCAGATTTCCTTTCCTAATTAGGCCTCACTTAAAGTAGGAGTTAATTTTGTCTTCATTAGCTGTTTCCAAGTCAGCAGGATGGGGCAAGGAGGAAGCCCGGGGCATGCTGGGTATTTGGGGGGAGTTGGCCCAGTGCTAAATGTCTGCGGTAGATCCTGTTCAAAGAATAAAATTCAAATGCAGATAATCAAGTTGATGGGAATATACACTGGAAATGTTTATGAACACCTTCTTGAAGAATTCTCAGGCTTTTATCAACTCTTTTTTCTTTCTATTAATCACGAGTGCAAAAAATTAGGCAAATAATCACATTAAATTTTCCATAGAAAAAAAAGAGACTCAGAGAGGTTAAGTCACCTCTCACACAGATTGATCTCTGAGTACACAGTACCTAAGATACTGAAACTGATTAATGAATGATAAGAAGACCCCACTGTTTCCTTCTTATTGATGATTTGAATAATGAGGAAGCAAGAATTCTCCTGGCCTAATTCACATTAAGAGAGCCAAGATAATGAAGCTGTGATTAAATGGCTATTAAACTATTTTTATCAAACAGAGATCAAGTGAGTGTGAGAATCTGGGGACTAGAGTGTAATTGCAATCCTACAAGATGCAGAAAAAATTACTAACATGAGCAGGGCATAGTCCTTTCATGATAGCTCACATTTAGAAGTCTTTGGGATACCACATGCAGTATTCACTCTGCATTTCTCCCTTCAGGTGGCAGTTAGCATCTCAGAGTCCCTCCTCTCCTCTTTAATTTAGTGGATTTGTTGACCCTCTGTGTGCAGTTGGGTGAGTTGAATGCATTGCCTGCCACACCTTGTATAACCAGTTGGAAGATCCCTTTGCCAACTGTGGACTAAGGAGGAAGACCCAAATGTTACAAACTGGGTCCAAAGTTTTAATCTGGAAGTGCCCCTGGGCACCTAAAGGGACAGAACCGATCTTCTTTCAACTGTGCCTTTTAAATTATGTCAGACTAGTACAGGTCATAGAGGGACTCAGCTGTCCCAAAGAGCAGAGATAAACTTTCTCATTTTGTTGACTGTTCTGAGCTATCATTTATTAATGACATGGCAAGACTTAGGAATTGTTGCAGATTCTAAATTTTGGGTTGTTAGTATAAATTCCTGTGTATCATCTGTCACTAGAAATTCTTTACACCGTGAGTGAATGTCTGTTGATGTGCTTCTTTCTTCCTAGAGGGCCCTTAGAGAATAAGGTGTTACAGTCACATAGACCTTTATTTAGGTCAGAAGAATTGCATTGTGTAAGGAGAACCCAAGGTTGACACCCACCGTGGGAAATGCTGTTTGATAACCACAGAGCTCAGCTGTAGAAATGCCCATTGGCCTGTTTTCTACCTTTCCTTCTGCCTCTGCTGCCAGCTCCAAGGCTGAGCTTAGTTTGTGCAGCTGTAGATCACTATCTAATTGGTGACCTGCTCTTTCTTCCTCCCTCCTCTGCATTTTCTTTTCTTTTTTTCCAACTCAGATGGAGCTAAGAAGTACGTATATACATATATATATATATATATATATATGTATATATGTATATATGTATATATGTGTGTATATATATATATGTATATATGTATATATGTATATATAATATATATGTGTATCAAATAGTAATTTCAAACAATTAGAAAGCAGTATCAGAGCCAAGTCTTTGAAAGGTTATCTTGCAATGTCAGTGCAGTGACTAATGTGTTTCTATACTCTGTCACCTGTGAACAGACATGTGTTAGTAGGCCAGTGTGCTTCCTCTGTGGTGACTTTGATTTATTTGCTCTGTAAATTGGGACCAAAGCAATAATGGGAAGTGACATTAATTGTTTAACAGAGTCCTCTTTGTCACATCCATTGCTTTCTCCGGGTGTTTGATTGTTGAGACTCATGCTAAACTAATTGAAATTGCCACAGTGAGGGACAGTATCCACTCACTATTACATAAACACAAAGAGTCATCAGTAAATATCAAGTTTTCTTCCCAGCTTCCTATGACTAAAGAAAACACAGATAATTTGAAACAATAGCATTTTTTTCCTTCCTTAATTTACAAAAAAAACTTTAGTAAAATAAATGGTCTTGGAGCCCCTCTCTGAGTCACCTGTATATAGAGATAATAACAATAATATTCAATAATCATTTGTAATGGATATGGAATATAAATAATCATTACAGCCCTATGGTAGATACTGGTTGAATAGTAGCCCTTACTACTCACATACTCCAACACACACACACACACACACACACACACACACACACACACACACAAGCCGCCATGCTAATCTCCCATCTTACAAATCCTCCCCTCTCATTGTCTTTCCAGTAGAGAGGGGAATTATAATAGTTGGTGTTTTAATCAGATCTTATAAATTAATTATGACATTATCAAGCTCCAATACCTTTGCCATTGTATTTGTTATACATTCATCCAGACTTATTAAGGAAATTGGAGAAAACTGGTTAATTTAAGCGTTCTTTGTCATTTTAACTTGATTGGAATTATTGTAGTTTGTTTACACTAGGGACAGAGCTATGGCGCTATTGTATTATGTGATTGAAAGCAAACAACAGATTGTAGTATTGCTGGAAAGCCAAACACAAACCTTAAATCATAGTAAACAAAATTATTCATTTATTGGTAAATATTCTTAATTCTTTTTCTTGAGCTATTTTGAACATCAATGAAATAAATCTTTTTGAAAAAATGGGATACTTGGAAAAATGTGCAATTTATTGGAAGTGTGTATGTGTCTGTGTGTGCATGTATATTTGATATATTTTCAAAAATTATTAGATAATATGGAGATAGGTATAATAATGTAAATCTAATAACTTTGAGATGATTTTTAAAATACATATATTTTATTTAAATGTAATTGTGTTCAGAAAAGTTAAATAACCTCAATTTAGTTATTGTATGTGGGGGATTAAAGAAGTGGGTTATTGAAATCTCTGGATACCAGATTACAATCCTGAGCAGAAAATAAGGAAACATCATTTCAGTCCCTTTAATATTAGAATTACACATACAGGGTCCTTCCAAAAGCATATTGAAAGAAGGTAGATTGAAAAGTTTACCTGAGGGTCTGAGGGTATTCAATAAGCTTTAGTTATTGACTGGTGCTTTTTTGATTTTGACAGTTGGTCAGTTTATGGAAGGAGATGGCACCATTTTGAAGTTAACAGTTACCCCTTCTGATTAGGATTTGCCTCCTGAATTAGAGGTTTGAGAGGTTTGGGTTTTTTTGTTGTTTTTTTTTTTGAGACAGAGTTTCCCTCTATCGCCCAGGCTGGAGTGCAGTGGCGTGATCTTGGCTCACTACAACCTCTGCCTCCTGGGTTCAAGCGATTCTGCTGCCTCAGCCTCCCAAATAGCTGGAATTACAAATGTGTGCCACCACACGTGGCTAATTTTTATATTTTTAATAGAGGTGGGATTTCACCATGTTGGCCAGACTGCTCTTGAACCCCTGGCCTCAAGTGATCTTCCTGCTTTGTCCTCCCAAAGTGCTGTGATTACAGGCATGAGCCACCGTGCCTGGTGCCTGCATTAGAGTTTTAAACTTCATACACACTGCACTGCACCCAAACTACTTGACTCACAATCTCAAATCCAGGAACATGAGAGGGATGTGTTATGCAAATTAAAACTGCCAATTAAAGTCCCCTGTGAGTCTAAATGGCTCTTCTTGGTCTCTTGAATCCAAAAGGAGTCCATAATTTTATTTCTGGAAGGAGGCTTCATCAGGAATGAAGGAAAACAATTTTTATGTGAAAATAGAATGTATACGTGATAAAGGCCTGCCTAATTTCTCTAGTAATACAATTTGATTTTCTGATTAGCTGTCTTATTCTGTGATTCTTGTAATTTTGTCAGGTCAATTAACTGGAGTTCAGTGCTAGAGAGAAAGGAAGTGTGGGCACTGCTGGCTTCATTAGATGTCAGCAGCTTAGGTGCATTTTGTAATAAAATCTGTGTGGGATAATTTAGCCCATATTGTTAACGTCATAGCACACAGAACTTTAAAAAGAAGACTTTGGAAAGAGGTCAGTTTGGACAAACGATGTGAAGTGCTAAAAGAAGGAAAAGAAAATGGTCTGGAAGATATTGTTGGCAATAAATGCAGATCAATGAATTATTTAGCAAGTAATCATTGATCAGCTATGCCATGTTCCCAGTGCTGGTACTGGTTGTCCATGTGCATAGAATATAACACATTGCCTTGTTAACAAGGTATGTGTTTGGAAGTCCTTGAACCATTTTTTACAGAGTACCGAAATAAATACTGTATTTTATAATGAATTGTTTACAGGTTCTTCCCTCCCATGGTAGGGTTATTGGAGGGGCAGGGTTTTGTCTTGTTTCTCTTTGTACCTCCCACACTTCACATGTCCCTACCACAGAGTAAGTTGTTCAAAAATGTTTATTGAGTGAATGATTGAAGATTAGCTTTCTAAGAGTGTGTTGGTGAGAATGAGTCAAAAACAAGGTAGAGTATATCTGCAGGAGCCTCTATTAGAAATAATAGTGCACTGGAATAGTATCCAAGCCACAAGAAATGAATGCATTTAAGAAATATTACAAAGAAAGACTTTACTCAGTGACTGATCAGAGAAAGAAGAGTCAAAGTAGGTCCAGAGTTTGAGTCTGAAGAATTATCACCCAAACTAAAGAAGTCAAAAGACATAGCAGTTTTGTTGTAAAAGGTGCAGAGTTTGGGTTTTCGGGATGAGGGAGCTATTATGAAGTAGAAATGTCCAGTGGGCAGTTTGAGATTTATGACTGAAGTTGGGAGAGATGTCAGGGAGCAAAATAAATAAATGATTTTGGAGTGTTCAGTGATGAGATTATAATTGAAACCATGAAAGTATATAGTTGCTTTCGGTACAGCTCGACTTTCTGGTGTCGTTCAAATAGAGAGCTGTCTAGGCAGTTTGGGGGGGTATGCTGTATAGGAGATTCAAGCACTATATCTGAAAATGACATAGATGATGGTTAAAATTCTCTCAACCTCCAAGATTCTCTGTCTTTTCTTTTAGTCAGGGAAAGAAAGCATGAGCAAGTGGAAAACACTTCTGTGACCAAGAAGAGTCATATACAGCAGTTTTAGCACGGACATAACAAATTGCTAAATTGGGCAACTCAACCATCAGAGATTAGTGTAGTAGAGGTATTCATTAATTGTGTCATTTGGACCAAAACATGAATTTGGAGTTTGAGAAAGACATGATCTTTGTGCTCTGGAATGGACATTCTAGATTTCACATATGGTTCACTCATTTGGTCAAACATGTTGATGAATAGTGTTTACTGCCTCCCAGTGTCAACTCTCATCTTCTGTTTTTTTCTGTTTCTGCAGAAGATAGATGAAGAGAATGAGGCAAACTTGCTAGCAGTCCTCACAGAGACACTGGACAGTCTCCCTGTGGATGAAGACGGATTGCCCTCATTTGATGCGCTGACAGATGGAGACGTGACCACTGACAATGAGGCTAGTCCTTCCTCCATGCCTGACGGCACCCCTCCGTCCCAGGAGGCAGAAGAGCCGTCTCTAGTAAGAACCCTTCCTACTGTTTAGCAGGAATTGGAGTTGCCTCTGGCTACCCGCTGCATGGGTATGATGTAGTCACAATAAGGTTTGGATTTTTAATTTAGAATGATGCCAAAGCAATCCCCAAGCACACTCAGAATTGCAAATTGTGTGATTCTCTGTTTAAAAGTGTTGATAATACATTTTTTCATGTAGTCTTATTGCAGTTTTTTTTAACCATCTTTTGCTGTTATGTGTGTGTATTTTTCTTAGTATTATTTATGTTCATGATGCAAACTTAGAAAATGTAGACAACTAAAAAGACTAAAAATTTCACCTGTGATTTCAAAAGACATCTCATATAAAAATGATTGCAATAAACCTTTTGAGATATATCATTAACATATTGGTAAAAATTTAAATATATGTATATTTTTAATGGCTGCAGAGTATTTTATTGTAGGGAAATGTTCTAATTTATTTTGCAATCTTTTATGGGTGGATATTTAGTTTTTTCTTCTATTTTTCACTATTTTGAATTGTATAATAATTGACATATTTGCATTTTTATTCTTATGCATAGAATCCTAGAATTCGAATTGGTAGATCAAGGAATATGTAATATTTTAAGACTTTGGATCCATATTTTTTACGAAGATTGAAAACCTATAGCACATTTGCCACCCAAGTTACTTAGATTTATGGTAGGCAATGAAGACTGAATTTGTTGGCAATGAAGAGAGAATTTTCTTTTCAATGCAGTGCTTGGCCAGAGTTTTATTAGTTCTGAGACACAGTTTACCTTCTCATCTATGTTAGCCATTTGTCATTTGCTATAAATCTGCTATAAGGGCATGCTGTGTAAATTATGGAATGCCATGGTCCTTCAGACTCTAATAGTGTGCTTTGGCATGCCATTTAGAAGTTGTTTCTCTCATATCACTCAGGTTTTAAATGTTAAAATACTCTATGCAAATATATGGAGGCCATACTAAGAGTCCATTGGTTTTTGAGGTTTCTGATATAGAGAATATCTCATAAATAATTGTTATTGATTCTCCAATTTCTCCATTTGTTAGTATCATTGGCTTTTCTCCCTAGTACCCTGATTTCTTTCCATTGATATCAGATTGTTCAGTTTGTTCATTTGGGAGGAGTAGTTGATTCAGAGACATACTGTATGTCAGGACAGGGAAGTCCTTGGGGGTTATCCAGTGAAATGAAGAAATAGAGGTCGGGAGACAGTAAATGCTTTGCCTGTGTCAGAACTCATATCTGATCTACAGCCCAGGACTCTACTTACAAATCCTTTTTTCTTTTCTAAAATCAGTGATAGTCATTCTTTATTCCAGACATTCTTTGAATCAGTAATTTCACATGTTAGGTTATGAAACATGGTTCAAAGTATCACAAAATCTTTTATTTTTTGCCACTTGATTTATTTGGGTTTCTTAAAAGCAAATGTGTATCTATTCCACCCCGCCCCCCGTTGCCCCACTAACCATATTCCACCCCCAGGTCTTCATTTAATAAGGGAGCTTTTCTCACCTAGTAGTGATTTGGAAATTATTTTAGAAAGGTATTTTTGGTTTATTTAAAAAAAATATGTAGATAACACCAACTCCAAATTATTCAGTAACCCCTTATAGCTGGAAATTTTGTGATTTTCCTTCTATTTTTCACTATGATTACTTGTATAATAATCGGCATATTTGCATTTTTGTTCTTATGCATACAATTCTAGAAATTGAATTGGAGGAAAAGGAAATATTTTCATAGTTGGTAGTGTGACGCCAAACTTTTTCTACTCTTTAAATATCCTATTTCCTTTAGCACTATTGCGCTGAGGTGTGACATAAATAAAATGATAGAATTAACTTTTATAATTATAATAAATTACATTTAAAATTTCAATAACTTATTCCAATGCTTAAAAGATGCATAACTTTTCTTGCTTTTCCCTTTCCCTGATAATGTTTCTAGCTTAAGAAGCTCTTACTGGCACCGGCCAACACTCAGCTAAGTTATAATGAATGCAGTGGTCTCAGTACCCAGAACCATGCAAATCACAATCACAGGATCAGAACAAACCCTGCAATTGTTAAGGTACAAATGTAAATTTTTTAACACATGGGGAAGTACTAAAGGATTTTGGCTTGAAGCTGTAAAACAAATGATAAGTTTGTAGGTATTAATTCAGCTGGGACCCCAACGCTGCCTCATCATGGCGAAATAGATTATGAATGGGACTCCGTAAGCAGCCTTTGAGCTACTTTAGGCAGAGTTCATTTACACATTGTCTTCGAGTGTTTGGAATCGAAGTGCCACGGTCTGTTAGTCCTTGCCCACTTTATTGTTACCTGCAGCATCGTGGGCTACGGTAAAATTTGCTGATAAGCTGGTATTATCTATGAATAGCTTTAAGATGCAGGATTGCTGTTTTGCTAGCTGTCTAACCTAAGAAAGATTGCTTTGGAATCACCACAAAACATCTATCGCTGCCATTAATTGGATGGAATGCCGGCAGTTCCATAATTCGGCTAGAAGGCTGTATTAAACAATGTTTGTCTTGCCATTCACTGTGAGTGAAAACGGGGCATTAAGGGGTACTTAAGAGAGCTGTGAGTACTGGGCGTCAGCAACCAGTGGCAAATTAAGGTTTAAACCAGCTTATTTTTTTTTTTATTCACAGTAAAGGTGCTATAGGGTCTTGTTAGTTACATGTTGCTGAGTAGGAACATTAAAATGTAGGAGAAATAAAATAGAAAGCTGCATAAATGTCATTTAGGAATTTTAAATGTAATTTTCTTTCCTTGTTCTGCAAACAATTATTCACAGCTCATAGATCCAGTGCACTTAGACTGAACACTTCATTGAAAAATCCCATCTCTTCAGAAAACCTATATCCATTCTGATAAGGTTCAGTTCACTAATTTTAGCTTTCTTTATGCCTTGTTTTTAAGACTGAGAATTCATGGAGCAATAAAGCGAAGAGTATTTGTCAACAGCAAAAGCCACAAAGACGTCCCTGCTCGGAGCTTCTCAAATATCTGACCACAAACGATGACCCTCCTCACACCAAATCCACAGAGAACAGAAACAGCAGCAGAGACAAATGCACCGCCAAAAAGAAGTCCCACACACAATCGCAGTCACAACATTTACAAGGTAGGCTGGGAACCAAAACAAGCTGTTGGTGAGGGCAGGGGAAGCAGAGAAAGCACACACAAGGTCTGAGGACACACCAACTTCCTGCTTCCATCCCAGCTGTGTCACTCTGTGGAAGAGAATTCAGCACTAATTATAGAGTCGGGGAAGAAATCTTTCTTTGGACACAGGTTAAACATATTCTATTCAGCTGATAGGCAGTCTCATTCACAAGCACCAAAAGGCTCCCGAAATGTTAGCCGGGTAGGGAGGAATTGCAACATCACATGAGGTTCACATGAATCTCTGAATTGCTGAGATAATTGAGGTTATGAACAAACTGGGCTAACCAATTTATTATAGAGCTTTTGTTTTTTCCCTTCCAGTAATGGAAAAAGTGAGGCATGAGTGATTTGTTGTATACACCTTAAGAAGTTGTAAATAGTATTTATGCAGCCACTCTTGATTACTAAGTACATTTTTTTTTCTAATTCTTCTTCTTTCTTCTCCTCCTCCTTCTTCTTTCTTCTTCTTTCTCCTTCTCCTCCTTTACTTCCTTCTCCTCCTCTTCCTCTTCTTTTTGTTCCTCTTCCCCTTCTTCTTCTCCTTCTTCAATCAATTGCTACATTCAGATTTTATTTTGTAGACAAAGATTTGAAAATTCCTGATTGTTTTCTTTCTATTTAAGAAATTGCCTAGATTAAATGAAACATTTGGTTGATTTTTATTATCACCATATATTGCTAGAGAAGACTGATGTTTCTGAGGCAGATCCTGGTGATTTGAGGGAAGCCCCTCTTGGCAGAAATACAATTTTCTCTCTTTTTGGCTCCACCTTCTCAAAACCTTGTAGTCTTAGAAGCCCAAAAGACAGCTTGACAGTAGCAGTTGATTTAAAACTGCCAGCTTCTACTTTTACTTGTGGTAGAAGTAGGCATATTATAGCATACCAATTATAAACATACACCTCTTTTTTGTTCACTTTCATTTTCCCAACTTTTCCTTTTAATTGCAGAGTGGTAGCCAGTGATTTCTGCTTTGAACCATGATTAATTCATATAGGTATGCTGTTATTGCTGTTGATTTAATATGCTTTTTCTCCCAGTGTTTTGAATTTTCTTCCCTCTTCTCTACCTTGATATTAGCCCAGGATTTTCAGGAGCCTTCCTTTAATATTTTAAATTGGCTTTCCATTAGGTTTTCCCTGGTAGATATCTTAAATCCACTGCCCATCACTTTCTGTCAGTTTAGGAAAATCTATTTAGCAGAATGGACCAAATTCTCTTTGCTCCAGCTGGATCTTCCACATAAGCACTACAACAGTTTTTCCTGGAGCAGAACCACTGTGCCATAGGCCTCGTTGGTGGTGAAGGCCCCAGATGAGGGAAAGTGGATGAGCTTACTCTAGTGAGTGAACAAATGAATTCACTGGGTTACTCCTCACCCTGTCCTGGTCATGCATAGATTTTCTGGGGCTGAATTTAAAGTCTTTGTAATATGTGACTCAGCCTGGCAGCACAGGTTTTAAAGCTTTTTTTGTGATTTTTTTTTCTTTTAGTAAACTTTTATAAATCATGACAATGAGGAACTAAATAGGCCTTTGGAGGAAATTTTCTTTAAATGAGGCTTGCTGTATGTGGTATATATCTGTGGCAAGGCACAAAAGGCTCATCCAAGAACAAAGCCTGTTGACAAAAAAAGAAAACAAACAAAACAGACAAAATCCTTTAATTATGAAAGACCTAAAAGAAATGAAACATGGCTGACAAGAACTAATAAATGCTCAACTTCAGTGATTATTTGAATCATACTCAAAATCAAAATGTAGGAGCACAAGATCGGGAGTTTGAGACCAACCTGGCCAACAAGCTGAAGCCCCGTTTCTACTAAAAATAAAAAAAATTAGCCAGGTTTGGTGGTGTGTACCTGTAATCCCAGCTACTTGGGAGGCTGAGGCAGGAGAATTGCTTGAACTCAGGAAGGCAGAGGTTGCAGTGAGCCAAGATCACGCCATTGCACTTCAGCCTGGGTGATAGAGCAGAGTCTGCCTCAAAAAAAAAAAAAAAAAACGAAATGTGGAAAATATGTAAACAATTAGAGATAACTAGGAGGATCGATTGAAATTACCTTTCTTATGGTGTTGTAATTTTTTTTCACTGAACTTCATGTAGGCTTTCCATAAAACATTTTGACGTCAGGTTCTTTCCATTTCCTTAGGATAATTGTCTAGCCATGGTTTACTCATGCATTTCATCCAAATACTGTGAGCTGCATGAAAAAGATGCATTCCTATCTTCAAGTATTCTACTAGTCTCTGGTCTACCAGTCACTGGAACAGTGTGGATTAAACTCTCAGTAAACCAGATCAATACGCCTCTAATGGCAGCATTTGAGAGTCCGGGTTTATTCAGGGATCAGATTCTGTATGGGGTTTGAGGTCTGTCCCCTTCCTATGGCTCTCATTTCCTGTTGCCTTTGGTCTCATTAACTATGACTTGCTAATTCCTCTCCTTTCATTGACCTTGGCCTTACCTGTACCCAACAATCACAATTTTGGGAGTCTTTGAGCATTTCAAATAGCCTGTCCTACCTCTTGAAAGCTGGAATTTCAGTGACTGATTTTTAATGTACATGTATTGTGTCACATAGCACATAGTTAATACCTTTATATTTTCTATAGAAATTCTATGGATTATCTTAATTACTAGTTGAGCACCATAAAAGTTAGTAAAGTTTCTTTATAAATGAATTCCTTTTGAAAGACTGATTATAGACACACTCAAAAACTAATAAAAAATCAGCTCATTTATCTGCATATATGAAAAACTGAATCAATCAATATATCTAATTTGTTGACGACATCATGAGCTTCATATTTCTGGATGTACATTGGAAAGATGATATACCATTCAATTGTGTAAATCTAAATCTATAAATAAAATATTTACATATTTATTTATCCAAGTAAACTGTCTAAGGCCAATTTGGACATGAATAATATTTTCACATTTCAAAAAAATTTAGTTGTTTGGGTTGATTAATTTACTTTAAAATCTGTTGAATGCAATTTCTTTTGACAATTGGAGAAGGGAAACAGCATCTTGGCCGACTGTGAGTAACAATTTTATGGCCCTGAAAATATCACTTAGTATCATTAGGTCTCAGTTACCTCAACCACAAGATAGGAAACTTTATTCTAAAGTCCTTTTTGGGTTTGATGCTATGATTTCCATTATGTAAATAACTACCACTTGACCTTTTGAAAGTAATTATTTTAATAAGAAAAAATTGACATAAACGTACATACACATAAGCATATGCTTATAGATAAGCATAGATATACATAATACATGAATGTATATCCCAAGTATGCCTCTCATCATATTTTACCCTCCTTCTGTTCGAAATACAAGAGTGCCATGGAGAAGCAATTGAAATTTTGGGGTGAGAAGATTTTTACTCCACTCTTCATTATTGGGAAATGCCTCCTGTAGGAAGTAAGACTCAAGAAAGCACAAAAGGAAGTTGTTAGCATCTTTGCAAGTCTACACACCTTTCACCTGATAAACCTGGTATCTTACTTTAGCTGTCTATCATATTTGGGGACCTGAACCCCTTTTAAACTATCTGAGTCAGTGCCCGCAATTTACCATCATTTCTCAATTAATTTTCAGTGAGTGGAATAGTTACTGCATGAGCTTTGGCCTCATAGAAATAACCTATTATCAGGGCTAGGTATGAAATTATACATTTTAGGAGTAAAATCAACTGAATATTCATAACGTTCTGTCGCCTTGTAGTTACTCTGCTGTTTTCTTTTCTAAACAAACCGTGCACTGTATTCCAAATTAAAACAGAAAACATGGTTTCTCTCTGATGGTATGATGCAAATTTTGTATCCTTAACAGAGATGGTTCATTTTTGGAAAAATTCTGTTTTCATATGTGTTTTCAAATGGTAGTTTACTGATGCACATGCTGTTTGGAATTTGTTTTAGCATAGTGGACTTTGTCTGACTTTGATCCAATCTTCAGAGATTTCTTAGTTTAGTCTTGCAGTTTTCTGGCTGTTTTTCCAACTTGACCATTGTAAAAAGAAATGAAATCTAAAAGACACTCAATATTACATAATTAGTTTCTTTTTTTTTTCTTTAGCCAAACCAACAACTTTGTCTCTTCCTCTGACCCCAGAGTCACCAAAGTAAGTATTAAAAAATGAAACCATTTTCAGAAAGGGAAGGGGGTTCTAATACATTTGGCTACAGCAACTCCATTTCAGTTTGTTTTTATAAATGTGCCATATCTTCCAGTGACCCCAAGGGTTCCCCATTTGAGAACAAGACTATTGAACGCACCTTAAGTGTGGAACTCTCTGGAACTGCAGGTAAGCCTTATATTTCACTTGGAACTTGTGTGTGTGTGTGTGTGTGTGTGTGTGTATAATAAGATTAAATAGAGTGCACTCTCTATATGATTAATAAAATTAACAAAGAATACAAAATTGGGGAAGAAGTTATCTGTAAATATTTCCAGTTGCTTATTTTTTTTTTAAATCTAATAAAAAAGACTGAAGTGCTTTAAAAACTTGGACGAACTGAAGAGCTCTTAGGCAAACTTCTGAGTTGGTTGCAAATGGTGCTTTTGCACTAAGTGCTTTAAGTTTAAGTACTTGAACCTCACCAGAAAGTGAATCGTGGTATGTCTAAACAAGAAATTCCTTGGCTCTGGCCGTTGCTGATAAGGTTAAAGGAACAGTACATTAAACAAGATGCTTTCAACCAGAACTATGGTGCCTACATGCACCGTGGTTATTGTTGCTAAGTTTAATTTCACACTTTGAGTTTGCTAAATTACCTGCTTATGAAAGGTCTAATGCATGATTGCATGACTTGGTCAAGCAGTAGAATAGTTAATTTCATGGTATATATATATATGTGTGTGTGTGTATATATATATTTATATATATTTATTATATATATATACACATATATATAGTATATGTGTGGGCAGACTCACACATATGTACATATATACATATCTTTATAGGTATGCACACATAGACACAAAAATATTTACTTATAAGCATATGCTTAACATCATTTCTAAAATACATACATAACACTATTTCTTAAATACATTATAACTTACATATATGTTTAGAAGTAGCTTTTGTGTATATATGTGCAGCAGAGGCCTTCTTATCTGAGCAGTGACAACCAACAATTGGTGGGTTTATTTAAAAAATTGATTCAAGCATATACTGTTTTATTTTACCTTTGCTTAAAACATAAAAATATACAAATATTACATTTTTTGATAGAAGACAGAGATCTTTACCCTGAGCTTACATTTGCTGTGTGGGGATCCATCTGTTAGCCTTTCTTATATAAACCACACTAATATATTTCTATATTATACATATCATAGATGGTAGCCATTTTGTATAGCTTGCTCCTTGAAGGAAAAGATTAAAGACAGGGATATAGTAGTCTGAATTCTTCTAGATTTTTATAATTTTTTCCAATATTTTCTAATACCATCCATCCATAACTAATTTGATAGTACGTCATTCAGCAATGATTTTTTTGAGTCTTTTTACAGGAATTATTTTTCATACTCACATTTCATTCATTTACAGAAGATTTTACCATCTTATCTAATTTCAGTCACCAGTACAATGCACATTAACTATATAGTCTACTGAGGTAATGAGACATATTGATAAGTAGCATGAAAGCAAATATTATTTATTGGATATGTTCTGCAACTTTCTAATAAAGGTAGACCCAGAAGGCAGTTGTTAGTTTGTTGAGTGTGATTGTAATAGCTGTACACGATATAAATTGGGGAGGCTGAGGTAAAGCCCATTTGCATTACGTAAGAGGAGGGATTTCGAGCTTTGGAAAGCAAGGGGATGAGGACTCAAAAGATGCTGAATGAGGCTAGAAGGTGAAGCTTGGAAACTGCCTGGAGAACAATGTAAAGAGGAGATTGAGGGAGATTTTTTTGTTTCTCTACAGATATTTTGGGCTTTAAATGCAACGCAACATATAATGTCTACAATTGTCATCTCTTCTAAAAATCAGCAAAATTGGTCGCTTAGTGGTGTTTGAGGATTGTGACAAACACTAATTGTACCTAGAAAGATTCACAAAGGGAGAAAAAGAGTTATCAGAGGGAAAACACTGTAGCACACCTTCAGCTTTAAAGACAATGATTGTGCAAAAGATTTTTAAAAAATGATTAAGGCAGTTAAAGGACTGAGAGAAATATTTAGGCAATACTTTCATTCTAGTGAATGACAGAGGTGATCCATGGAAAGGAATGTGGAGGAAATTGAGCTCTCCATAGGCTAACCTGACTCAGCCTTCAGGGGAAACAAAAAAATGCACAGATTTTGAAGCATGGGGTTGGAGTAGAGAAAATGTTGATGAAGCAGAGGCAAGAAGGCAGGAAACCAAAGGGATGCTCAGATGACAATGGATTTGGCAAGGACTGTGAAATCAGTAAGGAGCTACAGAATGACACAGACAAGTACTTTCCCTCCTGGATCTTTTGAGTCTTAGCGACTCTTCTACATCCTTGATCTTTTCCATACCTTGGTTTCCTCAATTTTAAAGTCATCTTCATAACTACTGATAAAATTATTGTGTAACCAAAAGACTAAAATATAGGTTGAAAAATGAAATTGCCAGTATGCAATCATTTTTGACGCACAAAAATGAAATTTCATGTGCTTTGATCTGAATTAAAACAGTTTATAAGCAGCAAAGCTCCAATTAAGAGTAATATATCATGATTTTAAAGAGCAGAAGGCATAGTTTAGTGAAGTTTACACAACCTTGGTTTGGATGTTGGACAAACCTAAATTTAAATTCTGAATGCACTCCCATCTAGTGTGTGGTCTTGGCCCATTTACTTAAACTCTGAAAGATCAGGATTCTTATGCATGATATGAACATGATAATATCTACATCTCACTGGGTCAGTGTGAGGATTAAGTGATAGAAAACATGAACCCCCTTATTATGTAAGTACTCAGATAATATTTGATATTTAATTACTAATTCTGAGTTAACTTCATTTGCAGTGGTCATTGTACCTTGCTTCTCATCTTTTCAATTTTTGGCTGTCTTCATCTCTTCCCTTTTATTGCCCTTACTGTGTATCCTCTTTGGCAATTTCGTATATGAAGTTATTTATTCTTTTTCTGTGCCTGTTCCCCGCTATTTCCCCATCAAATTGAACAAATACTGCTTTTAGTGTAGGTATGGAATTTATCAAATGAAGATAGAAAACTCACTTATTTGAGATTCTCTCAGCAGCATCTACTTCTATTACTATAATTTCTGGCAATTAGGCACTCCCTAAATAGGCACTTTACCTACAGTATCTTCCTTTCTTTCTGCCCATTTCATTGTGGAGGAAAGATTTATACATTGACACCAGCTATTTGATGTCTGAGTTCAATGCAGGTCTGCCTGAATAGAAATTATGTCTCTTTCCTGAAGTCTGAATTTTAAAAATAGTAATTGACATATGTTATGTTAAATAGGCTTCATTGCACTTGCCAAGTGTCATTGATTGGTACTGTCTGCCAGGAGCATTGCGTTGAGAGGGATTCTAAGGCCAAGTCTGTGCTCAGGGAGAATGTCATGATCAATTAGTGATGTCTGCCATGGGTGCAGCAGGTGGGTGGAAAGGGTAGAAACAGCATTCATGTTGATAATTTGTTGATCCTTGGTTTACAGACTTAATCGGTTTGGTTGCAGCAGCAGAAGTGACCCAAGCTATGGTGCAGGCCTTCTGGTGTTTTCTTTTTCTTTACTCTCACAAATTATAGTGAAATTTTCCAAATGTTTAAGTGGAAACGTAAAGAGTCAACAAAATTCTAAGACCTCCAGAATAATGCCTCTGCCCCATCTGCAGTGTCTTTGGGAAACAGGAGGGATGCGATAGGAAGTTTGCCTTATTAGGTATTGCCAGCTGGTCTGACTTCTTTGTGATTGTCCTAAACTAGCTCATTTTGGCTGATAAAAAAAACTCTTTTCTTTTACAGGTGTAAAAACTAATTTGATTTCAAAATAGCTGTTAGTAAAGCGAGATGAGAGAAAAGAGAATGCTCTTTTGGCAGAAGGCATTTAAATCTATTGCATATGGAGATTTTCAGAGTGCTACACTATTTTGTTTCTGAAATGGGAATGGCAAAGCAATGTCAGCTCAACAAGGTGACGGTTTTAACGACAGATATGAAGGAATTTGGGTAGGGACCAAAGTGACCCCAAAATTTTATGTATATATATAGAGAGCTTTTATTTGTTATTACTGTAGACATTGTAACTGTGGTAGAACTATTTTATGAATGATTAAGAAAATGAGAAAGCAGGCCGGGCACAGTGGCTCAGGACTGTAATCCCAGCACTTTGGGAGGCCGAGGCAGGTGGATCACCTGAGTCAGGAGTTTGAAACCAGCCTGACCAATGTGGTGAAACCCCATCTCCACAAAAAAATCCAAAAAAAAAAAAAAAAATAAAAGCCAGGTCTGGTTGCAGGCATCTGTGATCCCAGCTTCTCTGGAGGCTGAGGCAGGAGAATAGCTTGAACCTGGGAGGAGGAGATTGCAGTGAACTGAGATTGTGCTGGTGCACTCCAGCCTGGGCAACAGAGCAAGACTCAATCTCAAAAAATAAAAAGAAAAATAAATAAGAAAATGAGAAAGCAAAATATGTAATTAGATGTCTTATCATCCTAAAACAAGGAGCCCTTCATAATTTTTTTCTCCATCGATTTGTGTTTTTCCATATTATTTTAATCAGAGTGGACATCTGATTTGATGTTATTTATTTTTTACTTAATTTTCTCTCTAGGCTTTAATCAGCAGTCATTCAAAGCGTACTTTAGTGGACTTGCAATAAAAGCAATAACAAAACACTCATTAATCAATTTGTAACTACCTCTTTTATGTTGAATTTTACATTGCCTTTTTGGACTCTCCATTTAAAAGTTCATTTTTTTCTGGAAAAATGTAGGAACAAACACCATGAATATTGACAAACAGCTGTAGCCTTTTGGCATATATACTCCTCGTGTAGGTGACATATCTTTGGGAAAGTGGACAAAAGCAAAATATGAGTAGTTATCGGCAGTTTTAAAAGGAAAACTATAGCATCAGAGAACTGGAAGGTGATTTTGACAGGTCACATAATCTATTCCTGTGATTGAAGAATCCAAGAAAGGAAGACCCAACAAATTCCCTTTACAGCCCATTCCAATGCTTGGCAGCTCTTAGTGTCAAGGATTTCTTCCATATTTCAGCTATAGTCTTCATTTTCTATTTTCAATCTCATTCTTTTTGACCTAGTGTCTATAACGACAATTCCTTTG